GATCACCTCCTCCCTCAGATTTCCTACCATGGACTCCACACTGCTTCATCTGGTCACACAGTGCCCACAAGATCTGGTCCCGTTGAACCTCATCTGGAGTTGCCTGTTCCCTCAGGTGTCCTACCCTGGCCTCCAAACAGCTTGATCTGCTCATGCGGTCCCCACAGGATTTGGTTCAGATGAACCTCATCTGGGGTCGCCTGCTCCCTCGGGTGTCCCACCGTGGTCTCCACACGGTGTGATCTGGTCAGGCGGTTCCCACAAGATCTGGTCCTGATGAACCTCATTTGGGGTCACCTACTTCCTCGGGTGTCCCACCATGGCCTCCACACGGCGTGATCTGATCATGCTGTCCCCACAAGATCTGGTCTCAACAAACCTCATCTGGGGTCGCCTGCTCCCTCGGGTGGCCCACCGTGGCCTCCACACAGCTTGATCTGCTCATGCGGTCCCTACAATATCTGGCGAACCTCATGTGGGGTCACCTGCTCCCTCGGGTGTCCCACCATGGCCTCCACACGGCTTGATGTGGTCACGCAGTCCCCACAAGATCTGGTCTTGGCAAACCTCATCTGGGTCGCCTGCTGCCTCGGGTGTCCCACCGTGGCCTCCACATGGCTTGATAGTCCCCACAAAATCTGATGAACCTCATTTGGGGTCGCCTGCTCCCTCAAGTGTCCCACCGTGGCCTCCACATGGCTTGGTCTTCTCAGGCGGACCCCACAAGATCTGACGAACCTCGTGGGGTTGCCTGTTCCCTTGGGTGTCCCACTGTGGCCTCTACACACGTAATCTGGTCAGACAGTCCCCACAAGATCTGGTCCCGATGAACTTCATGTGGGGTCACCTGCTCCCTCGGGTGTCCTACCATGACCTCCACAGAGCGTGATCTGAGCATGTGGTCCCCACAAGATCTGATGAACCGCATCTGGGGTCGCATGCTCCATCGGGTGTCCCACTGTGGCCTCCACTTGGCTTGGTCTGCTCAGGCGGACCCCACAAGATCTGACGAACCTGATCTAGGGTCGCTTGTTCCCTCGGGTGTCCCACTGTGACCTCCACATGGTGTGGTCTGGTCAGGAGGTCCCCACAAGATCTGGTCCTGATGAACTTCATCTGGGATCGCCTGCTCCCTCGGATTTCCTGCCGTGGACTCCACACTACTTGATCTGGTCACGCGGTCCCCACAACATCTGATGAACCTCATGTGGGGTCACCTGCTCCCTCGGGTGTCCCACCATAGCCTCCACACGGCTTGGTCTGGTCAGGCGGTCCCCACAAGATCTGGTTCGGATGAACTTCATCTGGGGTCGCCTGCTTCCTCAGGTATCCCACCGTGGCCTCCACACGGCGTGATCTGGTCAGGCGGTCCCCACAAGATCTGGTCCCAATGAACCTCATCTGAGGTCACCTACTCCCTCGGGTGTCCTACTGTGGTCTCCACACGGCTTGATCTGGTCATGCTGTCCCCACAAGATTTGGTCTCAACTAACCTCATCTGGGGTTGCCTGCTCCCTCGGGTGGCCCACCGTGGCCTCCAAACGACTTGATCTGCTCATGCGGTAAACACAAGATCTGGTCCCAACGAACCTCATCTGGGGTCGCCGGCTCCCTCAGGTGTCCCACCGTGGCCTCCACATGGCTTGATATAGTCAAGCGGTCCCCACAAGATCTGATGAACCTCACCTGGGATCGCCTGCTCCCTTGGGTGTCCCACCGTGGCTTCCACACAGCTTGATCTGATCATGCGGTCCCCAGAATAGCTGATGAACCTCATCTGAGTTCGCCTGTTCTGTCAGTGTCCCACCGTGGCCTCCACACAGCTTGGTCTGGTTAGGCGGACCCCATAAGATCTGATGAAACTCATGTGGGGTCGCCTGGTCTCTCGGGTGTCCCACCGTGGTCTCCACACAACTTGATCTGGTCAGGCAGTCCCCACAAGATCTGGTCCCAGTGAATGTCATCTGGTGTCGCCTGCTCCCTCAGATGTCCCCTGTGGCCTCCCTACGGCTTGATCTGGTCAGGCGGTCCCCAGAAGATCTGGTCCCGATGAACCTCCTCTGGGGTTGCCTGCTCCCTGGAGTGTCCCACCATGGACTTCACACGGCTTGATCTAGTCAGGTGGTCCCCGTAAGATCTGATGAACCTCATCTGTGGTCGCCTGCTCCTTCGGGTGTCCCACCGTGGCCTCCACACGGCTTGATCTTGTCACGCGGTCCCCACAAGATCTGGTCCTGATGAACCTCATGTGGGATCACCTGCTCCCTCGGGTGTCCCACCGTGGCCTCTACACGGCTTGATATGGTCACGCAGTCCCCACAAGATCTGGTCCCAACAAACCTCATCTGGCGTCACCTCTCTTGGGTGTCCCACCATGGCCTCCACATGGCTTGATACGGTCACGCGGACCCCACAAAATCTGGTCCCGATGAACCTCATCTGGGTTCGCCTGCCCCCTCGGGTGTCCCACCATCGCCTCCATGCTGCTTGGTCTGGTCTGGAGCACTCTGGGTGCCCTCTTGCTCCCTACCTGCTCCGCGCCTTTTGCCGACTCCAG